ACTAAGATTCAACATTGTATCAACATGAGCTTTATTAATGTCCGATAACTGTTGCTGATAATGTTGCATGTGGTCTTCAACATTACAACTCCTAATTGGTGAATCTTCGCCACTATTGATTCCATTGAGGACATTAGCATACGTTAATAACTGTGCCTGTCTAACAGATGAGGACTTCACTGATGATACTTTACGATTAACCTGTTGTTTAACATTAGATGTAACACGATTTTGTGCAGGTGTAAGAGGAAAAACTCTGTTCAGACGACTTCTAAATGCTTTAGGTATGTGTACACGATTAGGAATCATATCTTTTTCCAACAGCTGTTCAATTAATTCTCTTCTATACTGTAACAATGCCGTGCACTGAGAATATGCATAAGAATGATCACCGCCGCAATTCCTGCACTTAGTAACATTGGTACACACATGTGGTGAATCAAGAGATCTTTCTGCAGAACAGACAGCACAGTATTCATGAGCACTTGTACATTTAGCTCGGAAGTGCCCGTATCCTTGGCATTTTTGAGCATAGCATGACCCTGGGCGTACCCAAATAGCGTTTCACTATTAGCTTCAACATTATTCAGACATTTTGTGTAATCACGACTGTCACGGAAGTTGACCTTAACATTTCGTGTTCGGCTAGATGCAGGACAGCCGAAAAGGACGACATCCGCAGAGCCATACTGCTCCTGAACATCACCTAGTACTTCTACTTCTGATAGCTGACAAGAAACTCCCATAGCTAAAACACTCATCTGTGGAGGTATACTCTTAGGCTGTTCAACATTAAATTGTTGATCATTAATACTACTTGGATATGTGTCATTCATAAGTAACTGTGAGAATGCTTCACGGTTATCACCATAAACAAATAAATATTTCTTTGTAATATCAATTCGCCAAAATGAAACCAAGTTACGAGTTCTAATATTTCGTCGTTTTAATTCAACAATAAGCTGTCTAGCGATCTGATCAGTAAACAAAACGTTTGTATTAGAAAATGAAATTTTCACCGGCGGAAATCTGAATTCACAACTGAAACGTTCTGCTTCCTTTGAAATCTTGGAAACAGATGTAGGTAAATATGGTGAAGTTATTGCATCAAAAAACTGCTCATTTTGCGCTTCTCTCGGCTGTAATCGACGACGCTGGCGATGTACAACATGAAAAGCCTCATCATCACCTTCTACTGAATCATTCAACGTAGACTGAGATACTATTGTAAGTGTTCGCTGCTCTAATACAGTTGTGTTAGCTGTATTACGGTTTTGTCGAATAGCCGTTGTTTCTGCTGATGGTTGTGAACTCATTTTTATACTGTTACCATCATCCTCATCGGTACTATCTAATAAGTCCGGAGGCGACGAAATTTTCCTCCGCTGGAACACTGTAATGGTGGTATTAGTAATTAGGAAGGAATCGGAAAAGTATTAAAAATTACTTCAAAAAGTTGAGAAAACGACAAACGTTTCTCTTCTTTCCTATACATTCAAATTTTTTCTTACACTTAGTCTAATAAAAGTAACTGTTCTCTCACAATGAGATGTCATCCAGAATTTTTCATGCGGTTTTGTGGATAAGCATGCAATAATCCCAAGCAAATAGTTTCTATCGCTTTATTTATCAGAATTAATAATCCGGATAGTTAGACTTTTGTATGTAATTATATTGTCAAAACTAAGAACGCGAGAGCGAAAAGACGCATAAAAAATGGTGAAGATTACACCAATCGACGGAACGGCCATGGTTACGTAAGCGTCACTTCAAGTGAGAGACACTTCGAAGTGTGTGCAGCAAAATTGGAGGTTATTTCCCGCTGGAAAGAATGCCGCTAGTAAAGACTATTAAAACGTTAAATCTTTAGACTTTGTTAGAGTCTGAGACTATTAGACTTTCGTATGTAATTATATATTATACAATAGAGCTTGAAAAGCTCTCTAAACCGGCACTAATGCTCCATCATTTACATCGTCTTAAACTCAATCAAACGTTTGAGGAAAGTTTTCCTAAAAAAACAACAGAGTTCTTCAGAGTTTGAAACAATTCCTGCAGAATGCGAAGAAAAACGTTCTTTTTTCCCGCAGAAGACTTTCACTTCCCGCGTAAAAAAGTTTCATTTTTCGGTTCCACTGCGGAATCACGAAATCACGCTCAAAATAGAGAACAAAAGGTCACCTCAGTTACAACCAACCCCATTCTTCGTACCATTTGCAACCGGTATTCGTGGATGCGTGGGCATAGCCCCCAATGAGCGATTCGCATTAGTGCCGGTTTAGAGAGCTTTTCAGGCTCTATTGTATAGTATATAATTACATACAAAAGTCTAATAGTCTCAGACTCTAACAAAGTCTAAAGATTTAACGTTTTAATAGTCTTTACTAGCGGCATTCTTTCCAGCGGGAAATAACCTCCAATTTTGCTGCACACACTTC